TAGCTAAAGCAAGAAATGCAGAAATATTAACATATTACTTCAAGCATATCAGGATAAGGAAGCTTGCCAGAATCTGCAGAACCAATTGATGATCAGGATAAACCAGGAGCATTGAGAGGAGAAAATGTCATTGCAGAGAAACTAAATGAGTTCTCTGCATTGATTCATGCCCACTGTGAAAGCAACTGGGGAGATCTCAATGCCATAGTCGTCTCCAGGGAAGACTCATCAGAAGATCTGTCCAAAACTGAAGTGATCGCGAACAATTTTAAGAGACTAACTGACAAAACAAACAGCAACAAGTCACCAGGGCTGCATAATCAGTTCTGAAAGTACTAACTAATTAAATAGCTTAATTACTAGCAGTGATGTGCAACCTCTCAAAACTCCCTTGTTGCCTAAGGACTGGAAGGTAACAAACATGAAATCTATTACTAGAAAAAGATGCAAGTGAGATTCAAGCCTGGTGTCTGTACCAGATAAATCAGAAGAAACCATTAAAAAGAACAATAAAAATGAGCGGACAGTCAGATACCTGCAATCAGCTTTAAGACTCCTAAGTCCTGACTTGGCTGATTCCTGAGTTCTTTAAGGGATCAACAAAGACGCATAAAGGAGGCTCATCGGATATCACCCAAGGGGCTTTCCAGGAGAGTTCTGACACAGTCACTCACCAAAATCCCAGTGAAACCAAGCAGCCATGCTCTAAGGGAGAATGTCCTGGTACACATAAATGAGCAGAGGATGGAAAACAGAGTAAATCAGCAGCAGTTCCTGCAATGGTGGACAATGACCAGTGGGGTTTCAGAGAGTTCTGTGCTGTTCACCTTGTCCACAAACAACATGGAAAAGTGGGTGAACAGCTGTGATATGGCAGAGTTTGCTGATGACACTAAGATATTCAAAGTAGGAAAGATGAACGCTGACTAAAAAGCAGAAGGATTTGTAGTCAACTGGTAAGAAAACAGCAGATGAAATTTAAATCTAGATAAACATGAAATGGTGCACGTAGAAAAACACAAAACAGTCACACCTTCATGACTAAAATGACAGCCTTTGAACCAACCATAACCACTTGGAGCGCAACCTTGGAGTTAAGGACAGAATCCTCAGTGGGGTTTAATGCTTACAGGAGGTCAAGAGAGCAAATAAAACTTGGGGGAATTACTGGGAAATAAACTTATGCAGGCATGCAAATCTGTGACATGGCCACATCTTAACTGCCAGGTTCTGGTTTCCTCATCTCAAAAAAAAGCTACAGTGCACAGGACTGTAAAAAGCTCTGAGAAAAGCAACACAAATGCACAATGGCATGGAACAGCCTCTGAAAAGAAAGAGCTAAGTAAGCAAGGACTCTTCAGCCACGTAACACAAAGAGAAAGGTCTAGAATGCCAGGCATGGTGTGAAATGAATGACTAGCGATTAAATATTCCCCAACTTTTCAACACAAGAACCAAAGGGTATCAAATAAAGATAGTAAAGGCCAAATTCAAAACAAGCAAAAAGAATTACTTGTGCAGTGGGTAGTTGCTATGGCAACTCCTTGCCAATGGGTGTTTAGCACGTTAGTCATTTATATGAGGTGGAGGGGAGACTGTAGAATTTCATGGAAAAGTCATCCATTGAGGTTTATTTCATACAGAGAGAACCACAGCTGCCTGAGGAAGTTTCCAAAATGTAAAGAACTGGAAGTTTGTTAAGTACACAGAAGAAGGATCATATATGCTTGCTCTGTTCTTACTGTTCTCCAGGCGTCTGATTTTAGCCACCGATGAGTGCGGATAGTAGGCTGGATGAACACTTTGAGTGACCCAATGTGATTATTCTTTTGCTGAACAGGCAATTACTGCATCCAGCGATGTCGCATACTTAACAAATGTTTCCTAATTAGAAGTTTGCTATGCTGATGTATTCAGGGACTCTTCCATACAACAAGCACGAGATTTCTTGTACGCAAATTTCAGTATCACACTCGGTTTGCGCACTTAAGATTGAAAATAGATTCCTAACTGTAGACAGCTAAACGATTACACAGAAGCTGGCAGGGCCTCACAGCTAAGCTCAGGTAGTTCCTGACTTACTGACAGACACTACTGCCCTGTTTAGGCAACCTCCCTGATCCAAAAGTATGGCCTCCTCGTGACCTATGACATGAACCACAGTCTGAGAAAGTCATCCTTTATATAACTTACCTGGAAAGCTTAGAGATGATAATGATCTGGAAGAGGGGAACGATATCTTGTTAAAAGATTTCTGGAGATGGGCAAAAGTCTGCAATGCTGACTAGAAACAGAAGCACATAAAGCTCATCCTGCAAGACAGGGGCCCTACAAGAACACTTCTGACAGTTGTCATGGCATGTGGCAGCCTCCAAGGACTTTTCTGTCACGCCACACAAGCAAGCTCCAAACCCAACCACGGGTGAAGTCCAACAGAACAGGTACTTCAGATGCATAGAAAAGCACTGCTGAATTCCCCAGTCCTACCCTGCAGATCCAGCTTTTCCAATCTTCTGTACTCCTCTCTTTACCCAAAACATAAGACACGGAATTTAGCAAGGCCTGTCAACTCAATTTCTCCCAAAAGTCTTTCTCACAGAGTTAGATTACTGCTCTCCCATTCCTCCTGACTCTTTCACCCAAGAGAGAAAATGAGCTGAGGGGAAAAAAAAAAAAGAGAACAGAGCTGAAACTACAGTGTGGTAAGCAGAAGAGACACTATTTAGGTGGCAGCTGTGGAATTAAGTGTGTGGCGTGGGAGCAAGTCACTAAACCTACATCCAGTGCTCACATTTTTATTTTCACAATATTTAATGTTTATTTTTAAAGTCACAGTTATGAAAGCACCTGAGAAGGTCTGAATGCTTGGGTTTTTATTTTCCCAATATGTTTCTAGCTGCCACGACTGACAGTAAAAAAGCCTGATCCCACAAACATTGCAACCTGAAAATTCATACAATACACACACCTCCTTAACATATTTGTCCTCAGTCCTGAGGATCTGTAATGCTTGGAGTTAATAATACTGATTTATCCTCCTCTTTGCTTCTTCCCACAGCAGACAATTTTATTCACACTGCTGTTACTTGTTTTCTTTTCAACACATACCAACTCACGCTATAACTCACTAGCTGTCAGCGTTTTAAAAGAAAGATTAGCAGTGCCAACTACACCTCAGGAAAAACATTTGCACTCCTCACAGCTCAAGTGTTTATTATATACTACAGAAAAAGTGCTGCATTACATTATCTATGTCCCTCTTCTTGTTTCTGCAGGGCTTCACTAAGCTGACAACTGACAGTCGCATGCTTGTTTAAAAACTGCAGTAAGAAATAATTATTCTGAACGCATTGCATATATAATCATCACAACATAATAACTTTTTCAATAGACACACTAATTTTGATAAAACTGACAGTTTAACACAAAAAGCAATGCTGATCTAGTGAAGATAGATATATTCTAATAAAGTAGACAAATGAGAAGTTAAATTCTGAACACTACCTGACAACAAACAATTTGAATTTATATGTGAGCCTACAATTCATTATGACACAAAGGTATTATCTGAGGAGCGTAGAAAAGTTCCCCTGAAAATTACAGAGGAAGATTGAGAGGAAGTTCTTAACCAATTTAAGCTCCTTGTTCCCAGTCCCATCATTTGCTGAGTTTTTAATACAGCACTCACAAGGAAAAATAACTATAAAACCAGTAAAATATCATGCCTTTGGTATTTTTTATATTATTTACATAGTATTTTACTAAGCTGTCTTTGAAGACTATACAATGCAAGAGCAGCCTGAACCTCGAAACGCTCAGTTATGCTGCAGAAATGTTAATCAACAGACATTTGGAAGAACAGAAACAACTTAATCTTTGTTCCTCTTCCATGTCTATTATCACAGAAAACGGAGGCAGGTAAACAGGAAACAGGAAAGGGAGAAATTATTTTTATATTTGGCAAGAGAAAGAATAGATTATTCAGCGTAGCCGATCTGGTTACTTTTGTTAACTGCCTTTAACAACAGCAACACAGAAGACCTCCTTTCCACAATTCTCCAGAAATTACTAACCCTGGGATAAATTGTATAGGATAACTAAATGTCCTCAAAGTAGCTTAGATGCAGGAACCACCAAGAAATTCCTTCCTTTTAAGAATAAACTTCATGTGATTTCATGTTCTATGTTTTGAAACCTTGTTACACCTTTGAACATTTGGGCTTTATGTAACAATTACCTGGCAACAGAAGTGAATAATTTGCCATACATGGGGCAGATCACTCGGCTGACCCGCGTGGCAACCTTCAAAAACACTGTGTTCTGCACCAAACTCCCAGAGCCTGGTATTCCCGCAAACTTAGGAAAGATGACTCTGGTAAAGCTGGACAATAAAGCAACACCCGACACTAGAGGTTCTAATGAAGTTGGTAGCAAGTATACTTTTATAATTTTACCTTGTGATATGGGGCATTTTGAAAAAACTCAGCACACTTATTTCTAGGTGAAAGTTGCAAATGTTGTACTGTAGGCACCTGGTTCCCTCTGGCAGAGGAGAGATACATTCTGATACCTTATGCAGTTACCAAGGAAGAAATTTTCCTCTGTTCCCAAATCGCTTAACTCTGGAAATTCACACTTCTTTTGCAGGGGAGGAAAGCGGGAGAAATCTCAACTATTTCCCACTATTTAATATTTAAATAAACTATTAGTTTTTAAAAAATACTTTTTAAAGCAAAGAAAAACAATTAAGTACTCACAGGACTCTTTCTACACGTGCGAAGGACAGAAGTGTTAATCAACTATCTGCCTCCTGCATTGCTTTGAATTTTAACCCAAATTATTTAATTTCAATTATTTATTACTTAGAAGTGCTGTCAACTATTTAAAATTTTTATTTTGTAAATGCGTAAAAGTAGGACACTGAAAACAAGCTTATACACAGTAATACACAGACACATCAGAGGATTAATATATGAAAAACAAGAGATGAAAAAACTGACCTGCTGCTTCTGATATTTGTTTAGTAGGGCTAAAAATAAGACGTAACATCTGGAGCAGTCTGCTAAAGCTGCACAGAAGTCATCATAGGAAGAAAGTTTGCTACAAAGGTACAAAAATAAAATATGAATGAATGAAAGTACTTTTTTTCCACAAAACATTAAAAAAAAAAATCACTCTGCTTTTGACTGTTATTGACAGAGCCGTATTTTCCAACAAGTTAAATCAATGCCAATACTCTTGACTTCTAGCAGAGGCAGACACAGCTAAGAAAGAGCACAACAGAAGTCTAGCTATCCTTGCCACAGTGAATTACGGGAAGAAGCAAACATAAGGAGCTTCCCAACCTGCTTGCCATATGGGCACAGTATGGCAACACTAGCACTTCTTGGCGCTAAATGGGAGAACTGTAGTTTTAAGATGACATGGGAAGTCAGACGGGAGAGGAAATTAATGGTCCCTTCCTAACGCACTCTAGAAGAGCACAGCGACAGCACTAACAGAACGCATCTCTCGACAGTAAATACAGAGAATGCGCCTCCTTGCAGTCCCGATTTCCTCTCTGCACAAAGCTCACCTTGATCGTTACAAAAATAGAGAATTGGACAGGCTTTAGGTCAGAGCAGAAATACTGCAATAACAGAACAAACTAGGATAACCTCTTACTTCCCATGTCAAAACCAGCAAATATCTGTGTTGATGTCCAATTACAACCAATTACAGCAAGACTTACAGATTTACAGAAATGAATAATCTGACAAGGCTAAACGTATTCTCTACGAAGAAGCTACCTAAAGCTACTGATGAAAAGAGTAATCATTCTGTGTAGAAGACAAACCAAAATTCAAATCTGTGATCTGTACTGAATAGTAAAACTTTTTTTTTTGGTGACTGCAATTTCCAGTCAGCTAATTAAATTGATTTTACGGTTAATTTGTATCCTTAGAACATGCAGTTCGCTAAACCTAAGGAAAAAAAAATTGAAGCAGTAGGAAACTTTAAATAAGACAAATTACTTTTGCTCCATATTTAATTCTAGATAAAGTAATTCTAGATAAAGTAATTCTGTCTTTGTCAGAATACCAGCGTAAGTATCAATTATATTTAATTACAAACCCATAACCCCGATTTTCAAGGCATTTTCCAAGTAAAAGAAATGTTCTTTCCTTAGAAGAAGTGAATATGCTCAGATGCTTCAATCATTGCTAGAACTCATTTTCATCAACAGTATGAAGAGACAGATGTGGACAAGATGGCATGGAATTGGGAAATTTACAGGTAGCAGAAACAGCAAACCACCAGATTTGCCCATTCTGAGCTTTGGAGAGGAAGGAATGACAGTCCCTGATCCAGCTGCTCTTCAAAGCACAACTCCATCTCACTTAGCAAGGAGAATGTGATGGGTAATTTGGAAAGGCTGAACATGAAGAGAAGTCTATAGCAGAATGATTTCTCAGTGAGCATGGAGCCACAGGCAACATGACTCAATACAATGACAAGGCAACAAACACTTCATCCAGAACAGCATTCATAAATGATGCTTATAACCCATCTCCTCATGAAATTACCAACAGTTCGTTTCACAACTTCTTCAAAATCCTTAAATTGTTTACAAATCCATTAGATACTGCAAGCTGGTGCTTGGTAACTGGAAGATTTTTGACCAGGCTACAAAAGGGCCTTGTGGGTGATTCACTCATACTGATCTCGCTCTAAAAAGCACATCTCAGGAAGCAGCCACTGAGCTGCTCGTAAAACTAAGATTCTTTCAACGCTTCCATTGGCACACTCAAGCCCTGATCCCACAGATTAATCTCCTCAAACACCCTATGACAGCTCAAACCAATGAACACTGATCACGTTTTCTCTCTTTTGTAGTCTATTTCCCAATACGCAGTCCTCAATATAACTCAAGCTTGTGTAATTTCTATTTTTTTTTTTTAAACATGGCCTAAGTTAATAAATAGTTAATAACTGATGCAGGTTTAAAGTACAGAATGGTTTGGGTTGGAAGGGACTTTAAAGCCCATCTAGTTCCACCCCCCTGCCATGGGCAGGGACACCTTCCACTAGACCAGGTTGCTCAAAGCCTCATCCAGCCTGGCCTTGAACACTTCCAGGGATGGGGCATCCACAACATCTCTGGGCAACCTGTTCCCGTGCCTCACCACCCTCTCCAGGAAGAACTTCTTCCTGATGTCCAATCTAACCCTCCCCACTTTCAATTGAAACCTGTTACCCCTTGTCCTGTCACTACAGGCCCTTGTAAAAAGTCCCCCCAGCTTCCTTGTAGCCCCTTCAGGTACTGGAAGGCTGCAATAAGGTCTCCCCAGAGCCTTCTCTTCTCCAGGCTGAACAAGCCCAACTCTCTCAGCCTGTCCCCATAGCAGAGCTGCTCCAGCCCTCTGAGCATCTCCGTGGCCTCCCCTGGACTCACACCAACAGGCCTATATCCTTCTGATGTTGACAGCTGTCCCCCCAGCTTCCTTGTAGCCCCTTCAGGTACTGGAAGGCTGCAATAAGGTCTCCCCAGAGCCTTCTCTTCTCCAGGCTGAACAAGCCCAACTCTCTCAGCCTGTCCCCATAGCAGAGCTGCTCCAGCCCTCTGAGCATCTCCGTGGCCTCCCCTGGACTCACACCAACAGGCCTATATCCTTCTGATGTTGACAGCTCCACAGCTGGATGCAGCACTCCAGGTGGGGTCTCACAGGAGCAGAGCAGAGGGGCAGCATACCCTACG